AGGTCCCTCAAACAGCAATTTTTCGGCAAAACAACAGCTGGCAATCGAGGGATTTCGCCGAAAACAGACGCGTAAACAATTGGGGTTTCCATAGCAACCAAAGAAACAGTTTCAGATAAGGCTTAAAAAACCAGGGAAATCATAATAAAATGGATAAAAAAGATTATTTTTGTGAGACTAGAATGTTTGTAGATGGCAAAAAAATATATTTCTAAAATAAGAAAATTTTGCGATTTTTCGGCATGACACTGAGGGGTCACTCGAGACAATTATATTCATTACTATTCAAGGAAATAATGGCAACTCTTCTAAGAAAACAATAACACTAAACCTGTCCTGATCGAGTCTTTTCCAATGCAATTTGAAGGAGAGAAGACTCTAAATTTCACTCTACAACGACGGTTGAGCATATATATTCACCTTTTATACTCAATCCCTTCTTTGAAATCGGTTTCTGTGCATCCAAGCGTTCGATATGGGCTAGTAACACTTGATTTCGTAACCTCGATTTCGTCGTTTCTTCGTGAACGTTCTTCGTGTACGTTCTCTATGTTTATTGATAATCATATCAGTTGACAAACAGACAGAAGTATTCGATTGTCAAAAACTAACTAGGAGAATAGTTTATAGCTGGGGACTCAGACTCAGATGTCTAATGCTCTGACACCTCTCAATTTAAACGGCTGATTTCGAGGAACATCAATCGTTCCAACAAGCTAAGAGCTGCTCCTTCAGTTAATCATTTCTCACTTACATTCACATTTGAAATTTTGCCAGTCATGAATTCTGAAAGAGCGCCTTGCTATAAAAGACACCGATATTGGCACAAAAGATCGGTTAATGTCAGGTTTTAGGCCGCATGACTTGCTTCAGATATCGAGTTCCCACTCCAGACCAAAATTAATCGTGTCGAGCTTTAATTCGACCGTACGCGTTCAGCCTGATCGACAAAATCTCACCTCCTTTGCTGTCCAGCTGGATTTCTTCTCTGGCAGTTTAAGCGTCTCTTTCACTCGCTGCTTCATCTCGTCCACACCAAGGGACTTCATTGTTTGAACCATGTCCATGATATCGTCGATATCGTCGATTGCTTTTTCCGACATATTCATTAAAGATACTTTAAGCGAGTAGAATCTAAGCTAAATGAATCACAGTATCACTCAGAACCACGAATTCGAAAGGCTTCACGGCCGAGATGTCTCTCGTTGTAAACTGCAGTTAAGTTGAAGACTTTTCTAGTAGGTCATACAACCATCTTTTCACAAATATGGCATTTGAAACGCTGTGGCGCGTCATTGGCTGAACTATGGCTGGTTTTCACATGACGTCACTAAAATTCGAACTGCAAAACTATTGATCGTCCTGCGATTTTACTTTAATGATGTATAAGAGCAGCTGAAAACTAATATTCATACAAATTTTCGCTCCGAATGGGTTCTTGGTTTTGTGATACACTACG